CTTTCAAAAAACCCATAATACGAAAATTTTTTCACATTTACATATATTATGTAAATATATAAAAAATATATATATTTGTTAAATCCTTCAAATTTGCATACTTTATATAAATATATACAAAATATGTTATATTAAGTAAATATATCTTCAGTGAAATCGAAATTAAATTTACGAGCTTTGTATAGCTGTATATAATATATTTTATATTTAGTCAAAATGTAATAAAAATGCTGGCAAGTTTTTATAAATGGGCTAAAAAGACTTCATGTGGATTCTCTATGCACTTTAACAATCGATAGAGCAAAGGTAAATATTTGCAGAGCAGCCAGGGCAGCTTAAAAATTAATTTCGGCCAGCTCTCGAACAAGTTATTTGAATAAGTCGAAACAAATGCAGAAAAAAAGTGTTCGGGGGCCAGACACAATGCTGGGGCAACGCCAAATAGCCTTGGAGCGCGGCTGGTCAAGGGAAATGGCAAAAGGCAAAAGGCAAATGGGGAACGGCGAACGGCGAATGGCGAATGGCAAATGGAATTGGAAACAAGGATGCACAAATTGCAAATACAATGTCATAAAGCGGGCACTCACCTCGGTAGAGTTTACTGCGTTTACTGCCAGCAGCAGTGGCAGCAATTGCTGGCTGGAGCTGTATGTGATGTTGCTGTTGTTGCTGCTGCTGTTGTTGTTGCTGTTGCTGCTGCTGCTGTTGCTGCTGTGATTGCCTGTGTTGCTGTTGTATTGCAGCATCCAACTGCAGTAGCAATTGAGGCGCTGCTGCTGCTGCTGTTGCTGCTGCTGCTGCTGCCTGACCAATATTTCCATTAACATTTGTCACAACGAGCTTCTGTTGCTGTTGCTGCTGCTGCTGTTGTTGCTGCTGCTGCTGCTGCTGATGGTGCAGTTGATGCTGATGTGTGAGCAATTGCTGGCCACTGCCAACAGCTGCCGCCGCTGCTGCTGCTGCTGCTGCGGCTGCCAATGCTGGCGGYCCATGAGCTGGACAAAAGCTGCGATACTCTCCATTGATATCCATATAGATGGGCGCCTCCACAAGTGGCCAAGCGGCGCTGCTGGCAGCAGCCGCAGCAGCAGTTGGTGCTGTTGTTGCTACTGTTGCTCCCGCTGCTGTAGGTGTTGGTGTCAGCGTAATTAATTGCACCGGCAACAGCTGGGGGCCATTGCTCGATTGGAGATGTATGTGCGGCATGCCGCTGTGCTGGCTGCAATGCGCTTGCTGTTGCTGCTTGGGCGACAACTGTTGCTGCTGCTGGTGTTGCTGTTGTTGCTGCGGCGGCAGGTTTAGTGCATGTTGTTGATAGTAAACTGCAGCTTGCTCATAGCCAGCATAGGCTGCACTCGAAGCCTGGCTTCTGTTGTATGCTGTTGAATGAGGCTGCATGGACATGTTGCTGTTGCAGCTGCTTGAGGCAATTGGCTTTTGTGGCTGGGCTCTCAGGGCGGCGGGCTGAAAGGGCGGCGCCAGTGGCGTTAGATTCGACTGATACGCCTTGACCAAAGCGCTGCTGTGAGCCGTTGGCTCCAGCTCTAACTCTGGCTCTTGCTCCTGCTCCTGCTCCTGCTCTGGCTCTGTGCTGCTGCAATGGGCTTGATTTGTCGACGTTTGGCGCGCTGCTTTAGCACTCGCCTGGCCGCTCGTTCCGCTCCGGTTGTTGTTGCTGTCAACGATGCTGTGAGCTGTTGGCAGCTCGCCAACCACTTTAACGCCTGATTTATCGATTAGCTGATAGCTTTCATCGATGAAAGCGACCAAATCTTTGCAAGCCTGCTGCAATTCCTCCGTTGTCGTTTGCTGTGCCTCCGCACTTTCCGCCTCATCGTCATCGTCGCTTTCGATAACATGCTCGATAATGCGTAAGTTCTCATAATCGATAATACGCGCATAGCCCATTTTTAGTGCTAGATTCGTTAGCCTGGCCATCTCAACGTCCACATTGTCATTATTGAAGGTGAAAACATCGAAAGCCCTCTGAGCTTCGTTATCATCGAACTGTTTTTGCTCCTCGGATGTTTGTTCCGTGGCGGCGTCTTTTGGAAAGTCGAGCAAAACGGTCATTTTGCCATTGATCTCACAATCGTTATCGATAATTGGATCGTTATCGCTATTTGTATCGGCTTTTGTACTTGTAGATGTTGTTGATTCGGGCTCTTCGGCATTGAATTCGATCTGTGCCTCTGCTGAGCTTGCCAAGTTCTTTGGCTGCTCCAATTCGTCGTCTACTTCCTCTTCTTCTTCTTCATCTTCTTGCACAGCTGGTGTGCTGCTATCGATAAATATCCCAGCACCTTCATCGACAGCTGGCGTCAGACAACTGTCATAATAAACACACTCATCGCACACCAAATCCAACTGTGCCTCAGTTGACGGTGTTTTCAAGAGGGAACTAACAGTTGCTGCTGCCATTATTGCTTCCAGGTATATCTGTTCACCTATTAGCCTCTTGCTGTTAATTTCAAATTATACTTGAATTGACTATCAACTGAAATTTAGTTTTGCATGGCATTATTTGTACCAGTTTGTTGAGTTGTGCCTCCAGTTCCGTTTTGCTGAAGAATAACATGATTTCGTGGTTTTGAATTTAAGTAAATTTTCTATTTTCAACAACTTTTAAAATTTCTGTAAGTAAAAGGAGAAATATACAATGAAAAGTTAAGATTGCAGTTTTAATATTTTTTTCTTATTTTTAACGTTGAATAAAAAAACAAAGAAGGTATTTCCCTTTTTCGATTATTTATTAAATTAAATTAAATTTATTTTGAAATTTAATCAGCATAAGAAAAGGTGCAGAAGAACTTCCCACGACTAAATTAGGCTAGAAGATTAATATCTAATAAGTAAATGCAAAGCCAAAATAAATGGTATATGCTTAAATTCTCTACTCCCTCATATTTTTATATATAAAGAAGTTAAAGTTGGTGTGAAGTGTTCATAGAGTTCTGATGTCATTTGTATTACTTTTTATGTGACAAACGAAACAAAAGAAAACAAACAACAACAAAATAAACTAATCTGAATTTTTGCAAGAAGTCGAACAATACAACTGTCTGATTGGCATATGACATTTTCGGGTCAGTAAATAAATTAGCAATATGGATGGGATATATGCAAAACAATTCCAGCTGCCCTAAGCAAGAGAGCTACAGAAACACACACACACAGATGATAAATAGCTCAGATTAGAAAAGTCAAAATAAATTAAAGAGAAAGATTGTCAGAATAGATATTTTTATAGATACAATTTAGTTTTTATAAATAAAAAATAAAATATCTTTTATATATCTTGACAATGAAATAGATTTCATCAATTTCATATTCAACTCTCACTTATTGACTTTAATTTTAAATAAATATAAAACACACATACGCCACGTAGTACGCAAAGAGCTTAAGTCAAAGCTAAAAATCGTAGCATACTTAAAAGGGCTGTGCACACGTAATTCTCATTATATTTGCATGCAAATGAACATATCTGAAGACCATATGGCAAGCCAAATGCAGAATTATGCAAATCCATAATTACATTTGATTGCGCAATTAACGCTCTTATCAATATGTTGCAGCCGATAGAGGAATGCCACGTTTCGATACCCTTCCCAAATGGGAAAGGGCTAAAAGATGATGATGTAATTTGTGTTAAAATTTGTAAACTTGTATAATTTAGATAAAGTTAACATGCAGCTAGACATTTAATATGTGTAAGTTTACAGGGTACGTTCAAGTCGTACACCCCTGCCAGCTGTTGTGTATGTGGCGTAAACGTGTCTGCTTTGACATTTAATTTGCCATATGTTTCGCCACAGTTGTCAAGCAGATTATTGGCTAACATCGCAACACTATTTTTAGCTGTAGAGATAAACATTAATTGACGTAATATTTGATTGGTTTTCTTGGATTACTAAAGCAAGCACATATGAGCGGAGAAAATTCAACTTAGATCTATAACTTACATTACAAATACATAACAATTAATCATGTTATTTCATGTGCTTTGTCAGATGAAAGTCTTAGCAGACGAATTTATAAGAATTTATTATTTGATATGATCAATTAAACTTTAGTATGTTCTGTTATATTATATGAAAATAAATAAGAAACTTTTTATATTATATGTGAAATTTGCTTCTTTATATACCTCAGACGGAAATTTAACTACAAATTATATGGAAAATGTGTTAAAATAGAATAGAAAAATCTTCAAGTAAACATTTTGAAATATTAATTTCACATGTTTTGCAAAATGTTGAATAATTAGCACATACACTGTGTACAGCGAATCATAGCAGCAGCACGGCGGATACTGTTGAATTCAGTATATTGATAAAGCCTCCGTCTTTCAGTATGAATGTAGTACAACTTATGTTTGTAATTCTTATTTTAATTATCCAATTTGTAATTTCATTATAAGACCTTATAGTCATGATAATCAACCTAATTATTTGCATCAGATATGACCTTCAGCTAAAGCCAAACTTCATGCATTCACTAACATCATTAAATTCAAGCCAATTTCCCCATTGCTCTAATTACTAATCCACTTAGGCAACACCCCCCACCCACAGTCCAAAGAGTGCATCTTGAAAATTAAAAAAGTTTGGAGCAGAATTTAGTTTTGCCAGCAATCGAAAGCTCTTTCATTGATATTTTATCTAATAAACTGAGCAACTGAATGCATTGCAGGTAAATTATGCAAAAGCTTCGGCGTTGCACTGCAACGGGCGTAATAAAAAGCTTTTTCGAGAGTATATCAAAATAAAAATACTAATAAAATACCTATATTCATATTTATTATCAGAATCAGTAATTGCATAATCGAAAACCAAGCAAGCCAAGTATACGGAATCACTTGGAGTATACCATATAAAATTGTAGTGATTTTCAATAGTTGTTAGACAACGTATTCAGTCGTTTCACAAAATACTATAATCTGTAGATTTATTTGTATAGTCAGTGGAAAAAATGCCCAACTTTAATGGGGCCATTATTATGCATACGTTGCAGTTGATCAAGACACCGGCAACGCTTCGTGAAATTGTGGTGACAATCTCTAAGAATATCGACTTGTCGCAGGATGACCTCATGAAGCCGGTCAAACAGACCCTAGACATGGGCTATCGTATGGGTTTCTTGCAGAAACTAAATGGTAATATCAAAATAAATATAAAATGGAAGAATTTTATTCTTATAATAATCGTATTATAGGTAGATACTTTCTGGTGCCAATGTCCTTTGAGACGCTCAGATCTGAAATGAAATCGGCAGGCAGTCAGGGGTCCAGGGGCAAGCCCGATCCTGTCGAAAAGGCCGACTTAAAGCCCAAAATCGAAAAGCGAGCAACTGGCAAACAGCACCCACAGGCAGTGAAGGCAATCGAGATATTCAATAAGAATCAGACACACAACAATCAGTTTGCGTCGGGAATGTTGGGACATGAGTCTACGACCACATTGATGCCATCATCATCGATGCAGGTGAAATCAGGTGGATTGGCGCTACGTAAGCCGAAGCGCACACAGCAAAGTATTAAATAGATGCAGTTGCATCTACCAATCTGCCTTCTCCCAAAAGCAGCGAAAATTTACCGTTAGCCTGTTGTAATTACTGTGTTGAGCAATTAAAATTAAATCGATATGTCTATTCAAATTTCCCTCTATCAACTATTCTATCATTGACAAACTTGAAGAATGTTTGCTCATTTTTGCCCAGTTGACAAATGTCTCAATTAGCGAAGCAAGGATGCTGAAGTCAGTGGGCGTGTGGAATGACATCGTCACGTCGCGTCAAGTCGCATCGTGTTGCGTCGCGTTTGTCTCCCTTACAATTTGAAAGTCAAATGAAGCGTTGTCGCAGCCAAGTTCCATTTAGCTGTATGCATTGACCATATGGCCGCTTTGTCGGTCCAACTCAGTCGCCCACGTTCCGTTATCTGTCCCGCGACCTGTGTCCTTTGCGATGACGTCGACAGTGAGCGGCTGCTATGCCGGCACAGCAGAGCGAGCACAGCGGACAACTTAACAAAGGTCTAACGGTATTTAAAGCCCACGCCGCTTTGAAGAGAGCCCGCCGTGAGCGCACGAGTTGTGTATCGTGGTGAGTAACGAGCGCGTGTTGAATTTCGAGACGAGAGTGCAACAAATGTTTGTCTCACTCAACTAGTAGGTAATATACATAGTAAGGACGCCAACTGAGGTGACTTTGCTTAACTTTGCTGCGTGGGCGCTGTTCACTCTAAGCACTGCAAAAAGGGAAAAGTGAGATTATCCCTCGACATCGTTGCGGCACACTGGCACAAATACTCATACATATACATATACGTATGTACTATAAACGTAAAAGCGAATACTGCTGCTCCATACGCGTTCCACTGGGAGTGTGTGTGTGTGCGTCTGTGTACGTGTGTGTATGTGTGTATGAAATATTAAAAGCACGAACTTGATTGCCAGATACACTGGATGCGCGGCACTTTTTAAAAAGGGTAACAAAAAGTTTTAAATTGGAGAATATTGTGGGTGTTGATAATGTGGGRGCTTAATGAGTTTTCTAAATTTTTAATGATGTAGCATCTTAGAATATTAAAAAAATAATAAGATTTATCAAATAAAAATTTAGG